GGGGGGAATAGTCTCCATCGTTGGTGTCAATGGGGGGGGGGAATAGTCTCCATCGTTGGTATCAGTGGGGGGAATAGACTCCATCGCTATTGGTGTCAGTGTGGGGAATAGACTCCATCATTGGTGTCAATGGAGGGGGGAACAGTCTCCATCATTGGTGTCAGTGGGGGGAATAGTCTCCATCATTGGTGTCAACGGAGGGGGGAATAGTCTCCATCGTTGGTGTCAACGGGGGGGGGGGGGGAATAGTCTCCATCGTTGGTGTCAGTGGGGGGAATAATCTCCATCAATGCCCCAACGGCCAGATAACAGCAGGCAAATGGCCACATGTGGCCTGCGGGCCGCAGTTTGGAGCCCACTGGCCATAATCTGTTGTCACCTATAGTTTTGAAATGACAAGTTCAGGTTTTATTCCATAAAATGACATCTTCCAGTTCTCCAGTTCCACTTTGTGGCAGATCCCGCCTGTGCCTAAGAGGGCGCAGAACGGGCTCTAATAGGATCCAATACAAGAAGATTAGCGCCTACTTTGAGCCGATTTAGCGCCCTCTTAGCCCCGCCTTTCTTGCCCCCATTGCTGGTCCTCCTGGGACAGATCTGTAATCATGGAAGGCGTCGCGCGCCGCCGTACAGAACTCGCTACATTGCATCACCGAGGGAGAACATTTCCTTCCGGTCTCCATGGAAACCATAAAGCCTGACAAGCGTCCACCTTGTAAACCCCGCCCCTCCTTCCTTTTAGCCACTCACTGCATGATAGGACGTCCTGCCTTTAGCTCGCCCCGCCTCCTCCTTCGAGTTTTTCTGTTGCAGCCTGTGATTGGTGGAAGGGCGGGGCAACGGAGGAAGTTAGTCCAATCAAAGAGCTCGCGTTGATCTCGTTTTTTAACACGTGCAGTCCCGGAAGTAGGACGCGCTGTGCGCAGCGTGTGAGGAGCCCGTGTGTCGGGTGAGGTGCGATTTCTTCATCGGTGAGATAGTGAAGGGAGTGTATGGAGGGATCGGTCCGTATTATAGATGGGGCACAGCATTGGGGTATGGGGGGCTAAGAGTCTCAGACTGGCAGAAAGTTTTGTTTTCCCCTAACACTGAGACTGATCGTACACCATACAATCTGATTGTACAATCTCCTTCCATCTACTATGTAGGATGAAGGCTTGCCTGATTGGATACTAATCACATGGATTGTTTAGGTTTGTGTTCATTATATTCTATATTGGAAATGCAGATCTAAACGCAGAAACCATTGCAGTTTACCAGACCCTGGGCGCCGTTCAGATGGCGGGAGTAAGCGTTCTCGCTTTTGATAGTGCGATTCTCATGTGATTTCACTTATCGCACATAATGGGCGGCCCTATGTACGTTTGTCACCCTAAAGATTCTCCTGTTCCAGGGGCGGACTGACAACTCATGGGGCCCCTGCCCATTCCCAAACTCAAAAAAGCCTGGAAAATACCAGGGGATCTCATGGGGCCCCTGTCGGGCAGTGCCTGAGTTTCCAAATGGTCAGTCCGCCCCGTCCTGTTCCTTTTTCAAAAAACTGTAGAAAGAGGTAAACCAGGGGCAATACCAATCACTTTCACCCCCTCCCTGCCCAGGCCACCTTTCTGTGCTGTCGCAGTTTGACAATTGTGCGGTCCTGCTGTACTGTACCCATATTAAATTTTTAGTGGTGCACTGAAATGAAAATTGTGGTGCTGAAACCAAAAATGAAAATTCAAAATGCACTTCTTATTTATTTCAGGTACTTCTATAGCGCCGTCAATTTACGCAGCGCTTTACACATATATTGTACATTCACATCAGTCCCTAACCCTCAAGGGGTGTACAATCTAAGGTCCCTAACTCACATTCATACATACACATACTAGGGACAATTTAGACAGGAGCCAGTTCACATACCAGCATGTCTTTGGAGTGTGGGAGGAAACCGGAGTACCTGGAGGAAACCCGCACAGGGAGAACATGCAAACTCCAGGTAGGTGGTGCTGTGGTTGGTATTCAAACCCACGACCCTAGTACTGCCAGATGGAAGTGCTAACCATTTAGCCACTGTGCTGCATTTGGTCAAAAACCGAAATGAGCAGTTTTTAAAAATGAATCTATATTTTTTTGGAAAAAAATACACTTTGATTAAAAAAAACAAAAACTATATATACCCCAATTTTTTTGTAAAATATGAAAGAGGATGTTACAGCGAGTAAATAGATACCCAACATTTCATGCTTTAAAATTGCGCCCGCTCGTGAAATGGCATCAAAATGCGGTACTTAAAAATCTCCATGGCTGATGCTTAAAAAATTTCTACAGGTTAGCAGTGTAAAGTTACAGAGGAGATCTAGTGTGAGAATTATTGCTCTTGCTCTGACGTTCGTGGTGATACCTCACGTGCGTGGTTTGAACACACATTTACATATGTGGGCATGGCCTAAGTATGCGTTCACCACTATGTGAGATCACGGGGGGGACGGGGGGACTTTAAACTTTTTAAAAAAAATGTATTTAATTTTTTATTTTTTTTTTGCACTGTCCCTTTTTAAACATTTTTAAATCACTTTTATTCTTATCACAAGAAATGCGTGCATCCCTTGTGATTTAAATAATTAGTGACAGGTCCTCTTTATGGAGAGATATGGAGTCAATAAGACCCCACATCTCTCCTCTGCAATGTAAAGCATTAGATCAAAGAAAAGCATTAATCTAGTGCTTTAAAAAAAAATTGTCCGGAACCTGGAAGGGACCTCGCTCCAGTCCTCCAAGGGCATAGAGATGAGTGGAGGCCATCTTTCCTTCACCCATCTCTATGCCGAGCGCCAGGATCGTTCGATGGTTTCTCAGGTAAGGCTGGGAACTACCAAGCGGCGGCCGGTGGCGGCGGGGTTTTTTCAGCACCTGTATCGGTGCTTTTTTTCATTTCAGCCGATGGCCGAAATGTTTCGGTGCATCCCTAAAAATTTTTATAATTTTTTTTCACACAACTAGAGCTTTCTTTTGGTGGTATTTCATCACCGCTGAGTTTTTTCATTTTTTGCTAAATAAACAAGACTGAAAATTTTGACAGGTTTTTCTTCGTTTCTGTTATAAAATTTTGCAAATAAATAACTTTCTTCAGAAATTTAGGCCAAGATGTATTCTGCTACATTTCTTTGGTGAAAATAACCCAAATCCGTGTTTTGTTATTTGGACTGTAGGAGAGTTATAGACTCCACAAACTATGGGATATATCTGAAAATCAATCATTCCTGATGTACTGACGGCCAATCTCATTTCTTGAGGCCTGAAAACACCAGGATAGTACAAATACTCCCCAAATGACCCCTTTTTGTAAAATAGACAGTCCAAGGAATTTAGTAAGAGGTGTGGCGAGCTTTTTGAAATTGTAATTTTTTTTCACAATTTCTTGGAAAATGAAAATGAAATTAAAAAAAAAAAAATGTTTTAACCACTTCCCGTCCGGCCCATGTACATAAACGGCCTAACGGTGGCAGTGCAGGGTCGGGTGGCCATTTATAAACCGCCTCCCTGCACCCTGTTTGTGTGCGCTCGTCGTGTTTGGAGGAAAAAGAAGGATGAGTTGCATCCCAAGAACACCATCCCTACTGTGAAGCATGGGGGTGGTAACATCATACTTTGGGGGTGCTTTTCTGCGAAGGGGACAGGACGACTGCACTGTATTAAGGAGAGGATGAATGGGGCCATTTATTGTGAGATTTTGAGCAACAACCTCCTTCCCTCAGTCAGAGCATTGAAGATGGGTCGTGGCTGGGTCTTCCAACATGACAACGACCCGAAGCACACAGCCAGGATAACCAAGGAGTGGCTCCGTAAGAAGCATATCAAGGTTCTGGAGTGGCCTAGCCAGTCTCCAGACCTCAATCCAAAAGAACATCTTTGGAGGGAGCTGAAACTCCGTGTTGCTCAGTGACAGCCCCGAAACCTGACAGATCTAGAGGAGATCTGTGTGGAGGAGTGGGCCAAAATTCCTTTTGCAGTGCAAACCTGGTCAGGAACTACAGGAAACGTTTGACCTCTGTAATTGCAAACAAAGGCTTCTGTACCAAATATTAACACTGATTTTCTCAGGTGTTCAAATACTTCTGTTCAGCAGTGCAAGACAAATAAATTCTTTAAAAATCATACAATGTGATTTCCTGAATTTTTTTTTTATTCTGTCTCTGAGTGGGAATGCACCTACAATGTGAATTTCAGACCCCTCCATGATTTCTAAGTGGGAGAACTTGCAAAATTGCAGGGTGTTCAAATACTTCAGTTTCTCACTGTATGTATGAATGTAAGTTAGGGACCTTAGATTGTACACCCCTTGAGAGCAGGGACTGATGTGAATGTACAATATATATGTAAAGTGCTGCGTAAATTGATGGCGCTATATAAGTACCTGAAATCAAATAAACATCAGCTGCTGCTTTTTTAAAGGAGATGTGCTGCTCGCTAACCCCTTCTGCCCGCCTCCTCCATTTATAAAACTTGCAGTATTTTTTTTTTCCCAGAATACCAAGCGCCCTGTCAATGGAGGACGTGGATCATTCATCTGCCTGGCTTCAATTCACAGAATGCTTATCATTTTGGGATAGGATAGTACAAGTTCTGTGAATGGGGGGGAGGGCGGGCAGAAGGGCAAGTGAGCAAAACAATTCTACCCTTTGCAGTAGCTGATGTTAACCCCTGCAGTGCTGGAAGATCAGTGATGTGGGGAGGATAAGGCAGCAGCGGGGAGGAGACTTGCATACTATGAAGCAGCCAGCAGGACCTGGAATGAACTTCATTCCTTCCGGTTAAGTTATGTCCCTGGTGCGGCACTGCAAAAGCAAAAAAAAAAAAATGGACCAAACGTCAGCTTTAAGCCAGTCTTTTGGTTCACACACTTTTGCTCCCTGTCTTCTCACCAATATGTTCAGGTTTAGCTTTGCAGCATCAGCTGTCACTTCTTTGCCCCCAGGCTGCTCATTCGACAGCCAGCATCATCACACTGCTGATCTATGGCCTCCTAAAGTAGGCAGGTGACACATGGAGGTGTAAGGGTCCATATAGGTTAGCCAGGGGTGTCAAACTGGCAGCCCTCCAGGTGTTGCGAAACTACAAGTCCCATCATGCCTCTGCCTTTGGGAGTCATGCTTGTAACTGCCAGTCTTGCAATGTCTCATGGGACTTGTAGTTTGGCAACAGCTGGAGGGCCACCAGTTTTGACACCCGTGGGTTAGGCTCACAACACTAACGCATGCAAAACTGCATGTGTTACTGACCCTCAGAGAAACACGCTGCACTTTACCTGCTGTTTTTGGTATACTCATTTTTTGCTATGGGTAAAGCCAGCCATACATGGATCGAAAATTTGGTCAGTTCAGCAGGGACCAGCCAAATTTCCATTCATGTATGGGTAGGCTGGTTGCACATAAGTGGATTTACTGATCCACTTCTGTACAACCAGACTGTCGGATTTTTCCGGCTCGATCAGCACCTCTGGCTATAGCTGGCAGCGCTAATCATGACATTCTGACAGCAGGGAAGTCTTCCCACTAGCTCAGCAGAGAGAATTCCCCCATCCACATCGAATGTGTGAATGGGGGGAATCAAATAATTTATCTTTTTTTCATTCATCCCGCTGGTTGAATGAAAAAAAAGGCACATCTATGGCCTGATTAAGTTATTCCACATATTACCAGATCGTATTATTTGCCCTGTCTATGCCATAGCATTACTGTAGGTCATTTCCTGTAGGAGATTTCCTGTCCCTAAAGTAAAATCTTCCTAGCATAGGCAGGGCAATACAAATGTGACAATGGTTTCTATCCCCTTCTGAATGATATATTTCTCAAAAGAATGGAATGAGAGCTGGCTTGCCCTTTCCAATTGCTTTCTTAAGCCTTGGAAAATTTATAAGGAAATGTCCCATTGGTATTTTACCCCACCAAAAATAGCAAAAAGAATTCCTGTCAGAACCTAGATCACCTGCTGGTGGCGATGTCGTTCCCTGAGCAGAGGGTTGTAATTCCATTGTCTCCCAGCTGTCAGCAGACCCCAGTAATCTTTCCACCTGATGCTGGCTGCAGGGAGGGTATTTAGGTCCTCCCCATTAGTTCTTCTTGTTTTCCACCTGTTGCTGGCTGCTGGGAGGGTATTTAGGTCTTCCCCCCCATCAGTTCTTCTTGCACCAGTGTTTTGCTGCTGCCAGATGTTCTTTGCCTAGATCAGGGGTGTCAAACTGGCGGCCCTCCAGCTGTTGCAAAACTACAAGTCCCATCATGCCTCTGCCTTTGGGAGACATGTTTGTAACTGTCAGTCTTGCAATGCCTCATGGGACTTGTAGTTTTGGCAACAACTAGAGGGCCGCCAGTTTGACACCCGTGCTGTAGGTGATTCCTTTTGAGATGTCTACGTTGTTGTACAATTACCACCACTTTTATAGTTTTACCAACATTTCCTTTTTTGCTGGTTAATATATTACATTGTCTTCTAGGGTAACTCATTATGATCACACCGGCTTTCGACATCAGCCAGGATGCTGACTTCCTCACTATCACCATTAAAGTTCCCTATGCCAGGGTGTCGGAGTTTGATATCTACATTGACGGAGATGACTTCAAATTCTATGCCAAGCCTTACTTTTCTCAGGTAGCATTTGTACTTTAAAGCTTTCTTAGAAAAGAGTGTATCCCCACAAAATCAAAGGATTTGTGGGCAGAGCCATGCAAAGCATTGCTTTATGCCCCCTTGGCCAGATTCACATCCAGATCCGCTGGGGTATAGTGCAGATATAACTGAATACTATAGAGCCATTTATCCCAATCTGCATACAGCTGTGTCAGGCCATTTGGCCATCATCAGTACAGTGTATGGAAACCATGGCTTCTGTGGAGGGGGGGTTGGGCCCCAACAAGGCAGTGCAATCATAACCTGTATGGTTATACTGTCTCGGCAGGTAAAAAAATATACTTGGGTAGAGCCTCAATTGCTGACGTCACGCCGCCATTGCTGAAGGTTCGAACGGTGGCCATCTTGGTACTCCATTTTTACCTTCATTCTTACTTGTTTACATGTGGATTGTCTTTTATTCTTTATTTAATAAATACTACACTATATACTACTTTTGGCTCCTGTGGTGAGCTATTCCTCCTAGGAGAGGGTCCATCTGCGTTTTTTGCCCTTGGCTGAGCATTCCTTGCAGAGGCTTCATTGCTGTTACCTGTACCCAGATAAGATGTGCTTACGTGCTGCTTACCAGTATATGTCTGGTGAGTGTACATCTGACAGAGGTGGTGGATTCCCTATTGGATCACGTCACAATATTTCACCGTGATTGTCGTACTTATATCTTTACAGACAATTTATAGCTCTTACTCCACTGATATTTTATGGACTTTATATATTCTCACTGTTATGCTGCACTTTACTGTTTCATATTTATTGAACATTTTTTATATTTGATTTTTATATGCTGCGCTTGACTGTTTTTTTTTTTTTTTTTTTTTTCCTTTTTCTCTATATGTCTGATTGACTTTTCACTATAATATCATTCACTTATTTTAACGCTGCACTTTCTATATATTTATCCATAAGGAGTTGTTACCTATACCTTGGTGCTAGCTGCTCTATAGTTCCAGCGCTCGCCTACACTTGATATTTATAAAAAAAATATATTTCTACAGTGCTATGTGGCAAGATTCAATATATAAAAGTGACTAGGTGCATATGTAACCACCCCCTTGTGCAAAAAAAAACGATCGTGAACTATGCCAGTCTATCAAATGTAAATCACTAAATAGTGCAACACCACTTATAAGACCCCGCAAATAAAGCGGGTCATTCATGCCCATTAATGCTCCTGAAGCAGAACCGCCCTTCCAGATATTCCGTACGCGAAGTCCGGAGAAGACAAAAACTGACATAGTGTAAAACCACTTATTGTGTTTAAAAAACAACATATAAAATAATGCGGTGCACTTACATTGGTGCAAGTCCCAGCACTAAGGAGCAATGACTTGGTAGAGGTCAGCTTCACCAGCGTGGTGCAAGCCTGCCTGCCGAAAATGTCACGTGCCTAGTCCTGCCCCATGTGTTTCATCCTCTAGACGTCTACACGCAGGGGTGGACTGACAACTCATGGGGCCCCCGGGCAATAGGGGATCATGGGGCCCCTGTGTCCTTGCCCAAACTCAAAAAAGCCTATGAAAAAGGTACCAGGGGCATCTCATGGGGCCCCCTACTGACCCCGGGCCCTCGGCAGCGCCCGAGTTTCCAAATGGTCAGTCTGCCCCTGTCTACTTGTATTGCCCCTGATATTAGAGGATGAAATGCGTAGGGAAGGTCTAGGCACATGACATCATCCTGCAAGTTCAGAGAGCCTGCTGGCATCAAGGAGAAGACACTGGGGGAGCTGGCCTCTACAAAATATATACACTTTTAATTACTTTAGTGCCAGGACTAGCAGCAAACAATGTAAGTGCATTGGATTATTATTATTATTTTTTTTTTTTTCAACCTGCAGTGAGGGTACAAAAAACGAAACACCAGTAAGTGAACCTAAAACGTGCACTTGGGGTGTGTCCCTGATCCACCTCCTGAAGAAGTAGGACACCTTCCTGACCTCCTGGGACACAAGGCTCCTGATGGGGTTAAGGCACACTCAGGTCCACCTAGCCAAAAGGCCTGGTGGACCCCTCTCCTCGTGATCACCCAAAGCCAACCACTGAGTACTAGGTGAGGAGCTCTCCCAAAGAGAGACCTCCCCCCCCCCCCCCCCCCCAAGTCAGGGGAGGAAGGAATCTAATGGTCACACATCCTCCCACTAGACTTCAGGGTAGGCCTGAGGACCCACACTCTCCATCCTGAGTGAAAAGGGAACACAAACATAAGTGCAGGTGACACACGTGGAGAGAAAAGTAAATATAAAAATAAGTGCAATGGCTAGGCCTTGTGGCCTGGTCACAAAACATGCCCCAGTCTCCACCAAAAGGCCTAGCCCATGAGGAGTAGGGCAGAAAAAACTAGGTGTTGTTTCCTAATGTTCGCTCCTACAGTGGGGGCCAAACCCACAGTTATTCTAAGAGTACACTCGGGGCCCCAGGGGACACAGGAGACACTTGACACCACAGGTTCTTCGTCTTCGCAGCTCCTGGACAGGCAAGGCAGTACTGCTCAAATCTGGGAGCACTGGGCCTCTCAGAACCCTCCATTCCAGGGAAGTACTACCCAACCCACACCTTTATGTGGTGCACGCTTTATGTTTTCCTTGGCCATCGGAAAGATCCCTCAAGACCCCCATCATACCGTTGGCGCTATATAAATACTGTATAATAATAATACCAACAGGAATACTACACAAGCAGCCATCCCATCCCTACCCTAAGGACAAACTTGAGGTTTTGTGGCCTAGTGCTTGCTCCCATAGTGGGGGCCCAAAACCCATAGTTATTCTAAGAGCCCCTTTGGAGCCACATTCCTTGGGGACACTTTTCTCCGAACCCTCCATGCCAGGGAAGTACTCCTGAGCCACGCCTTACGTGGTGCACGCTATATTCGGTTTCCTTGCCCATCTGGAAGATCCCTTAGGACCCCCATCATTCCAGCAGGAACATTGTACAGCCATCCCATCCCTACCCTAAGGACAGAATGACTGTGAAGCACCCTCTCTGAACACTGAAGAGAACAGATACTACACTTGATCCTAGACAGAATGCTGAGAAGTAAAATTAGTGGATTATTTTATGTGTTGTTTTTAACACAATATGGAAGTTTCTGCCTTCTCCTGACTTCATGTATGGAATACTTGGAATGGCGGTTCTGCTCTTGGAGTGTTAATGAGCATGAATGACCCACTTTATTTGAGGAATCTTCTTATCTGGTGAGTTCTCTGATAATTGGGTTGAGCTGATTACTGCACCAAGTGGAGGAATACAGGAAGTATTGTGGAGCTGTTGCTATACAGTGTGTGAATATTTGGAACAATGGACTTTTTGTGGAGCGCATTGTTTACATGATAATTTGCATATGTTTGCACTAATCATTGGACACTTTTTTTTTTTTTTTTTTTCTCCATGACATGGATTGTTCATTTATAGGATTAATGCTGTTTTACACAAAGCCAGTTCATATAAGGCTGGCCATAGTTGGGCCGTTTATTGGCCGAATTGTCGGCCGATAAACAAAAAATCGGTCATTGCCGAAAAAAAAAACAGACGTTTTTTTTCGTGGATTTTCCAGCATGACCAATAAAAATAAACAAGAAGGTCTGCGAAAAATGGCCAACGGGCTGGCCCCCACTAACGGCGTGAATATTGGCCGATTTTTCTTGTGGATGAAAATTTGGCCGATAAACGACCCGTCTATGGCCTGCATAAGGCTCTGCTCTTACTTTTGCAACTTGCAAAGCGACTTTGGACACAAAGTTGTATGACAAGTTGCAGACCCTTGTTTCCAATGGCACCCGTTCGGATCTATGCATTTTAAAATCGAAGTGACTTTGAAAAGGTTCCTGCAGTACTCTGATATGACTTGAGTGACTGAGAATGTAAAGTCATATTAAAGCTCCATGTAAACTGCAGCTGATCATGTAAAGTCATATTAAGGCTCCATGTACACTGCAGCTGATCATGTAAAGTCATATTAAGGCTCCATGTACACTGCAGCTGATCATGTAAAGTCATATTAAGGCTCCATGTACATTGCAGCTGATAAACTGACGTTTAGGAGCTTTTCTGCGTTTTTTTTTTTTTTTTTTCAGCAGCCCCTGAACTCTCCCTAATGTTTCCCTATGTGTCCATGTACACTATGTCGTTTACAATCGTTTACAGGCAGTTGAGTTTAGAGTAGTTTTTTTTTGAACGCACCAAACCTGCGTTCAGGAGTAGATTTTATCAGCGTTTCAACCACCAAACGCTTATAAACGCGTGTAAACGTGGCTATCCTCATTTATAAGCGTTTGCGTTTTGAAAAATGTTTAACGCTTCCATTTCCAGATGCTGTCCAGAACCTTTTTTCATTGTGAAAATTGCATGCAAAGCGTTTTCCCGGTACTCAGATGGACCTGGTACACCATACTTTGAGGTTTCGCATGAAAGAAAATGTTACTGTAGATACTGCTGCAATAATTTCTGCACAGAAATGAGCTGGAACACATCCGAACACCACAAAAAAAAAAGACAGCTAATCTCAACACATTCTGCTCTCTCTGCTTCTGCTCTCTCTATTTATCTCAAAATCTCAAAATGGCTTAGTGGTTAGCACGTCTGCATGGAGTTTGCATGTTCTCCCTGTGCTTGCGTGGGTTTCCTCTGGGTGCTCCGGTTTCCTCCCACACTCATGTATAAAAGACATGCTGGTAGGTTAATTGGCTCCTGTCTAAATTGTCCCTAGTATGTGTATGTATGAATGTGAGTTAGGGACCTTAGATTGTACACCCCTTGAGGGTTAGGGACTGATGTGAATGTACAATATATATGTAAAATGCTGTGTAAATTGACAGCACTATATAAGTACCTGAAATAAATAAATAAATATTTTTTAAAAAATATACATATGCATTAATTTTTGCTTTAATATCTTCCTAAAGTTCCGATTTGACAAATCAAACTGTTTTAATGGGCATAGTGGAATTTCTTTTTTTTTTTTTTTTTTTGTTTTATTCTTGTATTTTTTTTTTTTCATTAACAGGTACTTTTTTTCTTTTTTGCTGTTTGTGTCCATGCTAGATGTTTACAATGAAATCTGAGACTCTTATTCCCTGAGGGCACTTTTTTTTTTTCCTTCAAGAGAGTCCCAACCCTCCTCCTAAAATGTAGGTATTTTGAAGTAATTGAGCGGCTGCACAGTCCAGGTTGAAACAACCCTCTCTAAAGAAATGCTGATGCAGTGTTATTTTTCTCTTTCACAACTTTAAAGTGGTAGTAATCGCTTATATATACCGACTGAAGCGACTGGCTTCAGGCGATATACAAAGATGAAACAAATCCTCCTAAATAAGTTGTACCTGTTTATCATTTATTTGCAGCCCTCGCTTCTCTACATCCTTTCAAAATCCAGAATTTACACCATTTCTAAGCTTCAGAAGACAGAGGGTGGGGATCTGATATCACACATTGCGCAGCAGAGAGCTGAGTGTAATCTGAGACCTGAGTGAAGGGAATGGACCCCCCTACACACACACTGTCTCATAGAGAAACATGCACAGCTTAGGCTGTCAGTCACCTGCTGTGTGCTGGAAGGGGAGTGATGCTGTTCCTTCTTGGACTGTCTGGTGTTGGCATAGACTGTCAGAAGTGACTGATGCAGATAGCAGAGGAAGGAAACAGTAGACAGAAATCACACTAGGTGCTTTGAATACAGGCAAATACACACTATAGAAAGATATGCTTTGTTCATTTTTTTTATTTCAGAGGTTTACAACCACTTGAAGTTTTCATGAAAACGAACAGTAGAGACCTTGAAACGCATTTACTGTTGTGTGATTTTTTTTTTTTTTTTGCTGCGACCAATAAAGACTTAGTGTGTTCCCTCCATTAATATAATATTATCGCCTGTGTTTCAGATTGACGCTGCCTGGCAGGATTGTGGAAGATGGGAGACAGAAAGCCGTATATAATGCTGATGATGGTAAGATCATGACACATAATCATATTACGCTTTTACAGGATCTCAGTTTCCACTGTGCCCAGTCAAGAATGTTTAAATCTTGCATGGTGCCATGTGGGAACGATTGAACCCGTGTAATGTTATGACGATGTAAACATTCCAGGTAGGCAGTTGTAGATTGACCATCATGGCGTCGCAAAAAAAAGTTAAAAGATTTTTGTAAAGTATGAGGGATACCAATAAGCGTACCCCTGAGGACGTGCATGAGCACGAAATACGTCGGGTAGAGCCTACATTGCTGACGTCACGCTGCGGAAGGATGAAGCTGTGGCCAATTTGGCTCCTGTGGTTGAACTATTTTCTCAGGACAAGTGACTTCCCTTCCACCTGTACCCAGATGATACAGCAGGATTAACCCCTTGACTGCCGCTGCACCCCCAGATTTGATATGATATGACACATGCCTTACATTATATACCTTCTGGTGAGTGTACATCCATTCCAGGTGGTGGATTCCATATGTAAATATTCACACATTCATGCTCTGCACTTGGCAATTTTTCACATTATCACCATAAGGACCTTTTTATGAATTGCGTATGCTGGATGAATATTATTTATCATTTTGATATATACAGTCACTGACATTTATTCACCATTTTGCACTTTATTGCACTGATCATCACTTTCTACTTGCGGACTATATTGTTGCTATTTGGTTTTTATATACGCAATAATATATATCCATCTATTTATATATGCTGCACTTCATTGTTCCATCTCATATGTATTTTATTATTATTGTACAGGATTTATATAGCGCCAACAGTTTGCTCAGCGCTTTACAATAGAACGGGAGACAATACAGCAACAATACAGTTCAATACAAGAGGGTTAGGAGGGCCTGATCCTGGGAGCTTACAATCTAAGAGGAGGGGCTAGTGGTACAAAAAGGTAGTAACTGTGGGGGATGGACTGGTTGGAAGAGTAGAAGATTCCATTATTCGCTGAGGGCAGGGTAGGCTTCCCTGAAGAGAGAGGTTTTCAGAGATCGCCTAAAAGTGAGCAGAGTAGGCGATAGTCTGATAAATTGGGGTAGAGAGTTCCAGAGGATAAATTGGGGTAGAGAGTTCCAGAGGATGGGGGAAGCTCTGGAGAAGTCCTGGAGACGAGCATGGGAGGAGGAGACAAGGGAGCTAGAGAGCAGGAGGTCTTGCGAGGAGCGGAGAGTGCGGTTTTGGTGACATTTAGAGACAAAATCATTGATGTAATTTGGGGCAGTGTTAAAAATGGTTTTATATGTTATTGTTAATGTTTTGAATTTTATCCGTTGTGCAATGGGAAGCCAGTGGAGGGATTGGCAGGGGTGGAGGGACACTGATTGGAGGCAGAGAGGGATTGGCAGAGGGATGGGATATGGAACGGTTAGTAAAGTGGATGAGTCTGGCAGCAGCATTCATGATAGACTGAAGAGGGGATAGCCTGTGATGAGGTAGGCCAATGAGGAGGGAGTTACAATAGTCAAGGCAAGAGATAACAAGGGAGTGAATAATTTATTTTATGTGATTTTAGCGCTGCACTTCTATATTCATATTATGCTTTAAAGTGTTGTTCACCTTTTCACAAAAAATGAAAATGCGATCTAACACCATACATCCTCCCCACTCCTCTGATCCCTGCTCTACTTATCTCCAAGAGTTATTACTTGTCATGTTCATGCAGTTGGTGCAGTGTTCAAGGGATTTGAAAGCCCAGCTCTTCTTCTCTTGAATCACTCTGATCTGTCCTGGAAACCCTAAGGTAATCTCTGGACTGCATAGGCAGTGACATCTAACCACCTATGGAGGTAAGTACAGTAGGGAACGGGAGGGGTGGGTAGGATGTATGGTGTTAGTTTACCTTTATATTTTTTGTGAAAGGGTGAACTTGCACTTTAAGTGCACAGTGGCTTAGTGGTTAGCACTTCTGCCTGGAGACATTGGTTCAAATCCCAACCAACCACAGCTCTACCAGCCTGGAGTTTGCATATTCTCCCTGTGCCTGCATGGGTTTCCTTTGGGTACTCCGGTTTCCTCCCACACACTCCAAAGACATGCTGAGAGGTTAATTTGTTCCTGTTTAAATTGGTCCTAGTATATGTATGTATGAATGTGAGTTAAGTTGGCCGTACATGGATCGAAATTTGGCCGGTTCAACAGCGTTTCTTCCACGCCCCAACGAAACTCCAAAATCTTTTTTGGAGCAGAGCATGGCGTGTTATTTCACTGCCTGTTTTGATGTTTCCACAGAACAGAGGTATACGCTCAGGCAAACAATCCAGATCAATCCACAACAGGTGCAGGCTCTGGCTCGCCACCACACACGATGCAATAGGAAGAAGGGTCAGCCGCATACTGGAGGATAGATGAATATAGTGTGTATTTATTGATCCATAGGACACACACAACACCAGGACATGAATACAGGACTTGTTAACGCGTTTCACACAATCCCATGCTTAATTGGTTATGATTAAGCACGAGATTGTGTGAAACGCGTTAACAGGTCCTGTATTTATTTATTTATTTCAGGTACTTGTATAGCGCCGTCAATTTATGCAGTGCTTTACTATTTACTATATTGTACATTCACATCAGTCTCTAACCCTCAAGGGGTGTACAATCTAAGGTCCCTAACTCACATTCATACATACACATACTAGGGACAATTTAGACAGGAGCCAATTAACCTAGCAGCATGTCTTTGGTTTGTGGGAGGAAACCGGAGTACCCGGAGGAAACCCACGCAGGCACATGGAGAACATGCAAACTCCAGGCAAGTGGTGCCGTGGCTGGGATTCAAACCAACGACTCTAGTACTGCCAGGGGGAAGTGCTAACCATTTATCCACTGTGCTGCCCAGTATTCATGTCCTGGTGTTTTGTGTGTCCTATGGATCAATAAATACACACAATATTCATCTATCCTCCGGTGTGCGGCTGACCCATCTTCCTATTGCTTCGTGTTTTGATGTTTGTCACACATCAAACTGCACAGCAGATGAATGCCTGCTACCTGTACCTGGGGTGCCTTTAACAATAAATGGCACTGCATGTTTCCTGTGCATTCTGCCACGTGTTCCAGAAACGCCAGGTGTGAATGGAGCCTAAGAAATCCAATTTGGTAATAAATTAAAAATTTACAAAGTTTAATATTTCGTGGCCTTGCTTTATAGTAACACATTTGTTTCAAATTTGGGGTTTATTTCTTTGTTTTTTTTTAAATTTTTGCCTGATGGATTTGCTGAGGATAGTACAATGAACAGGACCACGGAAGCCCAATGTAGACATTCATGTAAAAGGGGGCGGATTGCTTTGCTGAGCGCATGTTTGTATTGAACCATCTGTCTCTGTAGACTTTTCCAGTCTTAGCTATGGGGGGCTCCATTGTAATACCAGTATGCACTGTGCTTGTTGGAAGAACTGTTTTGGCCGCTGTTCTCATCCTTATTGGTTACAGTGTTTCTAAGCCTATCCCTCCAAGTCCTCCAGTACCAGTATGTTGTATTGTTCTCATCTTAGGGGTATTCACGGTCCGAGTGCCTAAAGAGACCCCAGGACAGCATTTTGAAGGCCTGAATCTGCTGACTTCACTATTGGCACCAAAAGGAACTAGAACAGCAAAACGTCTTGTGGAAGAAATAGGTAAGACAAATAATACATACGTTTATTTTTATCTATCTTCATTAACAGGTTTTCCAGATTTTCTGGATATCTGATATCTGATTTGAACCCCTGTGGATCAACACAAAGGGGCGCTTCCTTGGTGAATGACGAGAACAGATGTGAGCAGAAATGCTGACGGCCTGTACAATTAATAGGAATGAGAATGAACAGCTGCATACGTTCAGTTTATTGTATAGAGGTGTATTTAATTATGTCGTGTAACTCATGACAGCCAACCAGAAATTAGCTGGGAACAGATAAGCGTGCACAGTCCAACTAAAGGCAACTTTTGTTTGGTTACTACAGGTTGCTACTTTTGCTCTTTGTACTGCGTTACTAAATATCAATTCTAAGTATTGATATTTTTACATTGTTACATTGCTCCAGCTTTGACCAATGTAACTATGCATATAACATACCTTTGGGACCCCTCTGGTAGTTGAAAAGCACTGTAGTAGAAACCCTATTACAGTGATCTGCTCTAATATGGAAAACAAAAAAGTTGTAGTTGCATAGCACAAACAACAAAAGTAGGTAATGACCACCCATGCAATATAGCTCACGTGTAAAACCACATATTTTTATTAATCCCATTGCGGGGAAAAAATGGTGATATCCGTTAAAAGTGACACACACAACCAGATAATTAAAAACAGTGAGAAATAAGCAATCTGGATTGCAATGCGTTAATAATGGAAATAGTCAAATTGACTGATATGAGACTGTGCAGTGCTGATATGATCCATAAGGAACTATAACAAAACATACAGGTCATAACCAAAGTCAAAAGCAGTCGTGAATTTTTAGCTTTCACCAAGCAATATAGATCAAATAGTTTGACATACGTCATGACATGTAAAGTACCCATATGGAGCAAAAAATAAATCTTTCAATACTCATAAATTAAATCGGTTAAATGTCCCGTAATGAAAAAATTGTAGATCTTGACCATGGAATTATACAGTGTTGAAATGGTATCATACTGTCCCATGTGAGATAGTTTCATATCATGTAGGATTATGAAGGCAAAAAATGAAAATCTCCTGTAGCAGTTTGATTATAGACATGGAGTGACACTGCGTAGAATCAGTGCCATGAAGTTCCATATATAAGTATAGTTCATCAGGAGGGCCAGTAAGAGCATTGAATGAGAAGGAGAGACAGAAGATGTGGCTTCAGGTGAAATATAGGTCAGCGTGTGATTGTGAATGGATAGGTAGATGTTCACCACACTTACCACCGTCAGATCACCGAAATTCCAAGGTAGCTCCGATCCGCTCTAATGTCTGGGTCCCATGCTGTCTGGCTTCCCAGCTGCATTGGTGAGCACAGGTCAGCCACTGGGTATGGGAGCCATTCAGAGAATGCTTTGCGTTTTTCCTAATGAATGCTAAGCATTCTCTGATTGGATGAGGGAGAGAGCTTGAAGTCACTGGAGAGAAGAGAGCACTCTGCTTAGCATTGTACGGGTATGTCGCTTAGCCTGTAGCTGCCACCCTTCTGCAGCATAAGTACTGTGGGCGGTCGGCAACTGGTTGATCTGTCCTGTTTTGGATGGATCAAATCTTGGCCAGTTGAGCAGGGACCGGCTGTGATTCAATCCATCTATGGACAGGCTTGGTTTTTTTTGGGGTTTTTTTTTTCAACCTGTGGCTTTGGCTTGCCTTAGTCAATATATATCTGCCTCTTGTACCCTCCCTTTGGCCCATCCTATGGCGTTCTCTTTGCAAAAAGACCAGACCATTCATTTCAACAACAATCTTTTTTAGAAGATTATATGTGCATTTAAAATATTTGAGGCTTGTTAAAAGCCTCCCCGTGTAGACATGCAAAAGCCCTGAAGCTGCTGCTGGCCGCTGCCATCTTGGCTGTGATGTCAACAGCCCTAGTAGACTGAGGGGGCTCCAGACTTCTCCAGGATCGGGTTGGATCGGTGGAGATCCAAGTTCAAGCCTTGGTTTGGAAAAGTCCCAGATATTTGTTTGCCCAACCAGACGTCGGACGCTTGCAGGCACACCCCCCATGACTATGTGCTTGAGCACGAAACGCGTCAGAGCGGAGCTGCAGTGTCCTGACGTCACGCCGCCGAGGCACCTTGTAGGTCCGGCGGCCATCTTTACAACAGTATATGGAGGAGGTGAGAGGTGTTGCATTCCACTGATGATCCAGAGGGGAGTCCATACCAGGGTATAGATGTCCATAAGAGGATCCAGCTGACCCACTGAGATATTGTGTTCTCAAATGTGTGATGTTATTGCACCTGGTGAGTGCGCAATTCTATTATTTATATATCACCAGAAGATAAAAAGAGGATCACCTTTATCTGAGACTTCACGTTCATTGATATTTATATATGGACTTTGTCACTTTATCAGTACTAATTATCACTTTAATGGAGGATTATTTACACTGTGTCACTTTATATATCTGCCAATGCTGATTGATTTATCACTTTAATTAGCACTATCTTCACTTTATTGTACTTGATGATTTTAGAGTTGTGAATACATTGCACTTTATTTACTTAGAGTTTTACGGATTTTAGCGCTGCACCTTGCTTTGTTTTATTTGTCTCAGAAGGTTTTTGGTGCCTTTTTTGGTGTTACAGCAGCTCACCCATAGCGCTCACTTTTGTGCTTTATACCCAGCCCCAGTAGACTGACAAATGTCAGCCAAGTGACAATCAATAGCATTTCCCTTCGCTCTTTACTCAGTTGCTACATAAGATTATACAGGGGAGGGGCAGAGGAGCTGGGCCAGTGCAGACAGTAATTAGACAATCCCAGAATAGGAGAGGACTGTGATGTGCAAGGTTGGAGGCTGTGCTAATATTCTGACTTTTTAGAACTAAGGCTGGCCTGCAACCTGTGGCTTTGGCTTGCCTTAGTCAATATGCACCGTGTCCCAAATTATTATGCAAATTATATTTTTCTCATTTACCTAAAATAATTGATGTAAATAACAGTCAGCATAATTCTCATGTTATCAACTATTAAGAGTGCAATTCACATTTTATTGAACAAACCTCCTAATGATAACAGGATTTTTTTTTAAACATAAAACACTTACAATGCACTGTTCCAAATTATTACGCACAGTAAGTTTCAAAACACTTTAAAGGTTGTAAAGAACTGAAAATTGTCATTTGTTGTGTTTGCAGCATATTTACTGAAATCAAAAGCTATTTCAATCAAACTTTTAACAACATTTTAACTTTTTAAACATTTTAACAGTTCACATTATATTGTAACATAGGACCCCTTATTTGATAGCAGCTTCACAAGTCTTGCATCCATTGAACTTGTGAGTTTTTGGACAGTTTCTGCTTGAATTTGTTTGCAAGATGTCAGAATAGCCTCCCAGAGCAGCTGCTTGGATGTAAACTGCCTCCCACCCTCATAGATCTTTTGCTTGAGGATGCTCCAAAGGTTCTCAATAGGATTGAGGTCAGGGGAGGATGGAGGCCACACCATGACTTTCTCTCCTTTTATCCCCATAGCAGCCATTGATACAGAGGTATTCTTTGCAGCATGAGATGGTGCATTGTCATGCATGAAGATTATTTTATGATGGAAAGCATAGTACTTCCTTCTGTACCAGAGAAGAAAGTGGTCAGTCATAAACTCCACATTCTTTGCAGAGGTCATCTTTACACCTTCGGGGGCTCTAAAGGGGCCGACCCGCTCTGTTCCCATGATTTCAGCCCAAAACATGACTCCACCACCGCCTCGCTGACGTCACAGCCTTGTTGGAACAGGGTGGCCGTCCACCAACCATCCACTACTCTATCCATCTGGACCATCCAGGGTTGCACGGCACTAATCAGTGAACAGGACTGTTTGAAAATTAGTCTTCGTGTATTTTTCTGCCCAATGCAGCCATTTCTGCTTGTGAGCATTGTTTAGTGGTGGCCGAATAGAAGGTTTATGAACTGTTGCAAGACTCCTGAGGACTCTACACCTTGATGTCCGTGGGACTCCAGAGGCACCAGTAGCTTCAAATATCTGTTTGCTGCTATGTAATGGTATTTTAGCAGCTGCTCTCTTGATCCGATGCATGGATCTGGCAGAAATCTTCCTCAATGTGCCTTTATCTGCATGAACCCGTCTGTGCTCTGAATCAGCCACAAATCTCTTAATAGTGCAATGACCACGCTTAAGTTTTCGTGAAATGTCTATAATGTTTTCATACCGTCCAAGGCATTGAACTATTTCACTCTTTTCAGCAGCAGAGAGATCCTTTTTCTTCCCCATATTGCTTGAAAATGGTGCTCTGCTTAATGTGGAACACCCTCCTTTAGTAGTTTTTCCTTAAATTGGGCTCACCGGCCAATCTAATTATCACAGGTGTCCGTGATTGTTTTCAGTGATCAAAAGAGCCCTGACACACAATGCCATCCATGAGTTACACTGAAAAACAAAATATTTAATCTTTGTGACACTTAAATAGAATTTGCATAATAATTTGGAACGCGGTGTATATCTGCCTCTTGTACTCTCCCTTTGTTTGAACATTTTCTTCACTGTATGCAATGTCACATATCTGCAAATTCCTCTATACACTCAATAAACTATATGTAAAAGAAAGCTAAAATCACACTGCAAAACAGAAAAAACTCATGTAGGTCAGGCAGAAATGTTCATTGCTATGTGGTTGGCCTCTTTATACAGATTCCCTGCTCAGGAGCAGGCAGAGGAACATATTGTAAGAGATTCCGGCAACACATAGACCAGTGGGACACTAGTCTCCCAGGGCTAATATCTACTTCTGATGGTAGAAAGGCTGCCAGTGGAAGTGATGACAGTGATTCATGCATTAAATGACCAGGCACGACTATAGGGCCTCTGAGAGACACGCTCACTGTAATTTCCTGCCTGGAGGGCTCTCTTCATGGTCCCTGAGGGGGGAGCCATAACCCACAGGAATAATTCAGGTACTCAGACTACAATCCCACCGCTTGACTCATAGCGGGGATGCAAGAGGCAGAACAGGCAAGGATGCAATAGATCTCTGAGTGTTATTCGAGTGAGTCTCCGCTTTATTCCGCTCCAGAAGGTAAAAATAATTCCTTCGACGCTTCATGTGAGCTCATACAGTTTGTTCGGATGTGTACCTGGATTCAAGAGCTCCTTAGCAGACCATTTATAACAGAGAGTGGATATCGCTGTCTGCTGTCTCTTCTACTTCTTGGTACTGTTCCATACCTCCACCTGCATTCTGCGTCACATTCGTGAAACACGGGCATCCTATGGCATTCTCTTTGCAAAAAGACCAGACCATTCATTTCAACAACAATCTTTTCTTATAAGATTACAGTATATGTGCATTTAAAATATTTGAGGCTTGTTAAAAGCTTCCCCTGTGTAGACATACAAAAGCCCTGAGGCTGCTGCTGGCCGCTGCCATCTTGGATGTGATGTCAACAGCCCCAGTAGACTGAGAAACGTCAGCCAAGTGACAATCAATAGCATTTCCCTTCGCTCTTTACTCAGTTGCTACATAAGATTATACAGGGGATGGGCAGAGGAGCTGGACCAGCGCAGACAGAGTAATTAGCCAATCCTAGAACAGGAGAGGACTGTGATGTGCAAGGTGGGAGGCTGTGCTAATGATCTGACTTTTTAGAACTAAGGCTGGCCATACATTATACAATTTTTATGTCCAGTTTCTGCCCAATTTCCTTTAGATTTACCTTCAACTATGTAGTGCAAGGACCTGCCTAATTGGATACAATTGAAAGTGTTGTTAGGTTTGACCTCATATTATATGGTTTTTGGTAAATCTAAAGCTAATTTCTCAAGAAAATTGTATAATGTACATTTTACAATTTTCTGTCCAATTTTCTTTAGATTTACCTTGAATTGTGTAGTGCAAGGGCCTGCCTAATTGAATAAAATTGAAAATGTTATTTAGGTTTGACCTCATATGATATAGTTTTTGGTAAATCTAAACCAAAATTCTGAAGATATATATATCTCTATATCTATCTAAACTCTTTCTCTCCCCCCTTTCTCTTCTCTCTCCCCCCCCCCCCTTTCTCTTCTCTTCCCCCCCCCTCTTTCTCTTCTCCCCCCCCTTTCTCTTCTCTTCTCCCCCCCCCTTTCTCTTCTCTTCCCCCCCCCCTTTCTCTTCTCTTCCCCCCCCCCTTTCTCTTCTCTTCCCCCCCCCTTTCTCTTCTCTTCCCCCCCCCCTTTCTCTTCTCTTCCCCCCCCCTTTCTCTTCTCTTCCCCCCCCCCTTTCTCTTCTCTCTCTTCCCCCCCCCCTTTCTCTTCTCTCCCCCCCCTTTCTTTCTCCTCCCCCCCCCTTTCTCTTCTCCCCCCCCCCTTTCTCTTCTCTCTCCCCCCCCTTTCTCTTCTCTCTCCCCCCCCTTTCTCTTCTCTCCCCCCCCCCTTTCTCTTCTCCCCCCCCCCCTTTCTCTTCTCCCCCCCCCCTTCTCTCTTCTCCCCCCCCCTCTTCTCCCCCCCCCTTTCTCTTCTCCCCCCCCCCTTTCTCTTCTCCCCCCCCCCTTTCTCTTCTCCCCCCCCCCCTTTCTCTTCTCCCCCCCCCTTTCTCTTCCCCCCCCCCTTTCTCTTTCCCCCCCCCTTTCTCTTCCCCCCCCCCTTTCTCTTCTCCCCCCCCCCTTTCTCTTCTCCCCCCTCCTTTCTCTCTCTCCCCCCTTTCTCTCTGTGTCTCTCTCTCTGTGTGTGTCTGTCTGTCTGTCTGTCTTTGTCTTTTTAATACTGCTTTAAGTTGGTGATGAGATCTTTTAAGGCAGCAGTAAGAGCTTGGTGATTGGAGGAGAGCTGCTTATGTTAATGTGAACCAAGTTGCTATTCCATCTTTTCACTCCAGTTATACCACTACTGCACATCTGTACCTGCTATATGTAAAGGTGAACTCAAGGTTATGGTCACTGTTGATCAGAGCACCCCCCTACCCACTACAGATAAGGGTGCACCTCCAATGTGTACCCTGCATCATCATTGCATATAGCCAGCCTGAATATGCCCAGTTAATTAATCTGTTGCAAATGGGTCTCTGTTCACTTGGAGCTACTTTCTTATCAAAGGATCATCAGGATGCAACAGGACATTGGAGAAAATATCTCCCTGTTGGAACATTTTCCTTCACCTCTTGTCCTGGTGACAAATAAAACACTTTGGATCTCCCATCACTTTCTGTCTCATTGACAGTGATCATCAGGACAAACACACAGAATCTCCTCCGGACAAAGCAGAAAGCGATGTAAGCAAAAATGCTCACCATTTTGACTGACTGATCCTAATGACCTGTAGGTGCCACTTGGTCCATTCTGCTTCTGGCTGGCTCGCCAAAATTGTTAAAGACAAATTTTGAATTTGATACCACACTTATTCTAAGGTGCACCCAGATATAGCATAATGCTAGAGAAACTGACATGGGCACAAGAGCACTGTCCAGAGGTTTATTTTTATTTTTGCAAAGCAGTAATATTTATTTCCATGTTTATTGTAAGCATTTCATGGTGTTAAATTATTAGATTCATTGATAAATCAACATTCCAAAAAAGTGCCTTATTGCGCAAAATTATGAATAAGTGTATTACAATATTGTATATATATTTATAAGTGTCCCGGCAAAAGTCCACACAAAGTACTCTTCCAAGTGTTGAAAACCAATCCAGTTCATAGCTTTTCAATCCAAGATACCTAAAAAAAAAATAAACTAAATATAGTGCATTATCTTTAAAGCAAAACAAAAACACTCGTGACACTTAAAGTGACTCCTCCTAAACCCACACCCACACTCCTAGACCCTTATGAAAAAGTCGGAAGTGACGAAACGTGTCAGATACGTGACGTCAGAATGTCAAACCGGAAGGAGCGGCGCAGCCATCTTAGATACTGGAGTTCAGTCATACGAACCGTGGGAGAGGATGGACGTTTCTTTTTACCTAATGTAAGCTTTAAAATAAAATTACGGATTTCTTTTTATATGCTCCACTGAGTGTTGTCTTCTCTGCCCTTCCGAGGAGCGGGGAAGTCCAGATTGGGCACTTCGGGAAAGGGGAAGTCACGGATTACCCTGGAGGAGTCTTATGCCTTTTTATATTGAAAGAGGGTAATGGTATATTATCCTGCAAGAGTTGAGGCACTACTTATATTTGATGCATGTGATCACGAGTAGTGTGATGTGGATTAACATGGAATGGTTGTGAAGTTTCATTATTCATGAGAGGGTAATGGTATTTAACTACATTTGAATGGTGACACTGTTTTTGGATTTTTGCACAAATCACAAGTTGAAGTGTTGGTTTCTCACGAGTGTGGGTTTAGGAGGAGTCACTTAAGGAGTCACTTTAAGGAGGAGGAGTCACTTTAAGTGTCACGAGTGTTTTTGTTTTGCTTTAAAGATAATGCACTATATTTAGTTTATTTTTTTTTTTAGGTATCTTGGATTGAAAAGTTATGAACTGGATTGGTTTTCAACACTTGGAAGAGTACTTTTGTGTGGACTTTTGCCAGGACACTTATACATATATATACAATATTGTAATAATTTTAATATTTTATGTATGAGGGTAGATGATGGGAGTGTGTTAGAGGGATTACAGAAAAGGTTTTTTTATTTTGCACTTTCAAGGGTGAGAGTGGTACTTTTTGTAGGGATACATAGAGTTTATATATTTGTATTTATGAATAGGTGTGCTAGTACTCAAAACTTCATATACTTGGGTCACCGTAAACTGTATCGCATGAGAAATTTTCATGCTTTTTCCTTTGGATATTGTCGCATAAACTGTCGTGATCAGCTGTCGAAAGCTGTGTACTAACTATCAGATTATTTAATGATCCCTCCGAAAGCGATTTTTGCCATCCGATTTTCTGATCGTGTGTACAGGGCGTAGGCAAAACCACTTATTGGCCAACTAAGAAAAGAAAAAAAGAGAATCAGACTAAAATATGTTAAGACGTTATCCATTTTGTACCATAGTTAAAGCAATACTCTAAAACTCACACAAACGGTAATAAAAGAAGTCCACACTCTATCCATAACTTCATTGAAAAAAACAGTTGTTATAAATGCACCTTAATATTTGACTGTGTTAAGGGATTAGGAAGTATGAAAACCAGTCCTATTTTCTAAACTTTTCCAATTAGTAACATTTTCTGTTTCTTCTTCTTGGTTAATTGTTTAGGGGCTTCCAGCGAGATTCCTGAAGATGAAGATGATGATGAAGACTTTGACTGGCAGATTGAACAGACTCCCTATGAAGAGTCGCCCTCTGATCAGCTTAATCCGCAGTGCAGCTATGGCTTTGGAAATTTGCGAGTCGGAGTCTTCAGGCGACTGCAGGTGCTTTTGGTGTATTTATTGCAGAGATAATATCTGGTAGTTAATAATTTCTTCATCAGTTCCTCTGCTCCCCCCCCCTCCCAAAAATTAAAAGACAGCAGCTACAAATACTGTGGCTGATGACTTTTAATATCAGGGCACTTACCAGTCCAGGGATCCAGCTGTGTCCTCCCCTGAGTTGATTCTGTAATCGGCTATTGGGTGCTGGCACGCCATTTTGACTAAGGGAAAATCGCAGTGAAGCCTTGCAGCTTCACATCCAATCTCCTACTGTGAATGCTCGAGGCGTGCTGCACTTTGCGAATAGGCCGCAGTCTTCCGGGACCTGTGAAGTGTCACAGAGGGCTGTGGGGGGATGAACTTCCGGCCAGAGCCTTAAGTGGGAGCGAGCCCCCCCCCCCCCCCCCCAATGTCAAATGTGGCAGCGGACGGGGGGAGGCAGATAAGCTGAGCTTCCACTTTTCGGTGGAACTCCTCTTTAAAATGGTCAGGGACGTAGCACAAGGCTGGAAAAGTCCTGTTTACATTGGCCAGCAAGGAAAGCATCACAGCAGGTAAAAAATGCCTTCCATGTGCTACCACAGATTCCAGGGATGTTGGGAAAATGTTCTGCTGGGGGTTGCCCACTCAGTGCACCTCTTATCTCCATCTGATTCCCTTCTTCCCTTTGATCCCTCACTACTCTGTTGGTCTTCATAGTGTAACTTCTGTAAGCTTCGTATATGACCTAAAATGTTTCTACAGCCCTAAGGTTTTTTTACCTTCATGCATTCTATGCATGAAGGTAAAAAACCTGTGCTGCAGGATCCCCCCAGCCACCACCTTATGCTTACCTGAACCTGCCTTGTGCATGAGAGCAGCAGCTCTCGCCGTTATCTCCCCCCTCACTGAGCAGATTGATAGCAGCAGCCAGTGCCTCCTACTGGCATTCAAATGCTGTGATGAGGGAGCTTGGGGAGGGGGGCCGAGCCAGCCAGACAGGGTGGCTTGGGAGCGAGTCCACATGGGTGCCCCCATAGAAGCAGCTTTCCATGGGGACACTTGCTGAAGAGAAGCCTGGAGCAGGGGCGGACTGACCATTTGGAAACTCGGGCACAGCCCGAGGGCCCAGGGTCAGTAAGGGGCCCCATGAGATGCCCCTGGTACCTTTTTCATAGACTTTTTTGAGTTTGGGCAAGGACACAGGGGCCCCATGATCCCCTATTGTCGGGGGGGCCCCATGAGTTGTCAGTCCGCCCCTGGCCTGGAGCGTTGGTGGGACCTCTACAAAGAGGTTTCTACTACCACACAGAGAGCAAGGCTTTTCTGCAGCATATTGGCAGGAGACAGGATATCCTACCCAGGCTGTTTTCTAAGGAAAAAAAAAAACGAAGTCATTGCTGACCTTTTCTTTCTAGGAAGCTGGAGTGTATTTAATGCTTGTAAAGTGATCATTAAGTTGCATTTTAATGGCTTTCTACAACACTTTAGGCTGCTCAGGGAGTTCCTGCACTGTCTGCATCATTCCATGCAGAAAGTATTCAGCATTAAAGCAGTGCTTAAAGCCAAAACCAAAATGTAATATATTGCAGCTTACCGATCACTAGATGTTGTGGTTGCATTAGTTTTCTTTTTTAGGCTTTTTTCCCTTTATTTTAACCATGTGATCTGGCCAGAAAAACACCTGCTGTATTAGAGTGCCCCCACTCTGGATGTTGGAGCACAGGGAGCACCATTGCCAGTCTGGGGAGAAGGGAGTGTTAACTGTACTAGCAGATTTAAATACACTAAAATTGAAGCCAAACTCACACTTTATATTCAGTTACAGCAAACAGTATTTTTCCTTTTGGTATAAATGTTTTACATGAGTAAATAAAAGTTGATTATTGTAAGAACCCTTGCTAACTGATACACCTGGAAGAAAGCTTGTTCTTTTGAAAAACAACAGACTTACTGGCTGGATCACCAAGTGCAAATAGAAGAAAGCCTAAAAGAAATCAAACCGCCATCACATCTAAGAATTGTTAAGCTGCAATGTAATAAATGTTTACTTTTGGGTTTAAAACTGCTTTTAGGCTCTATGCTCACGGGACGTTTTTAATAACGTCCCGTGAGAATAGAGCAGTGTGAGCAGTGTGTTTTAGGTAAAAAAAAATTTTTTTTACCTAAAACACGCTGACACTGACATTAACACTAACTGACACCAATTTTTTGTTAAAATACTGACATTTGACCCTGACCTTTGACCCAAACACTAACCCTGTTACTGAACTAGATCAAACCTTGATCTAGGTATTTTTCTTTTTTTTTTCTGGTTTTTCAGCATTTTTGCATTAGCGTTTACTGGCGTTTTGCAGTGTTTTTTTCTTTGCGTTTTTTTTTTTTTTTTTTTTTTTTTTTTTGGTCAGAAAGTCTATAAACCACTGGTTTGCCACGATTTAACGCTGGTTTTTTACCACGTTTTTCTGCATTAGAGCGTCTTTACAGCTAAAAAAACTCCTCTAGAAGCCAACATACGTGGTTTTTTTTTTTCCAGCCAAAAAACGTCCCTGCCAAAAAAACGTTGATTACAGTCTGTGTGCATGGACACATAGGGTAACATGCTGGGGGGTTTTCTGGCTGTAGAAAAAGCCAAAAACAGCCGCTGTAAAGAGGCCTAGTGTGCATGAGGACTTAATAGCAAGTAGAGAATGAAGCTGTCCAGCAGAACCAACAATCCAAATAAAATGGTTTGATTCCAGTGAATATGGCACCGCAGAGCCCCTAGTGGTCATACTTCAGCACAACAGACCTACTTCTCTCCCATCGTGTATCAAGCATTTTGCACTTATACAACTAGTCATTTACTTTCTTTTCAATACTAAAATTTTCTTATTTCCTAAGGGATTACACTGGTACAGTATCAGATGCAATTTAAAAGACAATTTATCCAAAATCTTTTCAAAGTTCTCAAGTTAATAGCAGAATACTTGTACTTTTATTGTAAGATGTTCATTGATAATCTGACACTTGAAAACATTTTATTCATCAATCAGTTGCAGGAAGGTTTTGCCAATATACTGAAGTAGTTTTGTTTGTCAAAACTGGCTATATTTAGAGCCACCTTTCATAAAAGCACTGGGTGTGAGTATTGTATTGTTGTGTGTTTTCTCTGCAGTATTTCATTTTGCAAAGATTTTGGAGCTAAAGTAACGATTAAAGAGCTTGTACAGGGTCATTTTTTTTTTATTTTTAAAATGAACAAACATGTCATACACTGTATAATTGGGCAGCTATGTGGAAAATGAGGTTTAATGTTGATAAATGTAAGGTTCTGCACTTGGGGGCTAAGAATATGAATGCATCATACATACTAAGGGGGGTACAACTGGGGGAATCAATGGTGGAGAAGGATCTGGGAGTTCTGGTAGATCACAAGCTTAATAATGGCATGCAATGCCAAGCTGCCGGTCCTAAAGCGAGCAAAAAAGAGGTATACACTCGAGAGAGAGATATAATTTCCCCCAGTACAAATCATTAGTAATACCTCATCTGGGATATGCAGTTCAGTTTTGGGCACCAATTCACAAAAAGAATATTTGGGGACTGGAGAAAGTACAGAGAAGGGCAACCAAACTGATACGAGGCATGGAGGAGCTCAGCTATGAGGAAAGATTAGAGGAACTGAATTTATTCTCTCTTGAGAAGAGGAGATTAAGGGGGGATATGATCTCCATGTATAATACATAAGGGGGGATATGATCTCCATGTATAATACATAAGGGGGGATATGATCTCCATGTATAATACATAAGGGGGGTATGATGTCCATGTATAATACATAAGGGGGGATATGATCTCCATGTATAATACATAAGGGGGGGTATGATCACCATGTATAATACATAAGGGGGGGTATGATCTCCATGTATAATACATAAGGGGGGGTATGATCTCCATGTATAATACATAAGGGGGGGTATGATCTCCATGTATAATACATAAGGGGGGATATGATCTCCATGTATAATACATAAGGGGGGATATGATCACCATGTATAATACATAAGGGGGGATATGATCACCATGTATAATACATAAGGGGGGATATGATCTCCATGTATAATACATAAGGGGGGATATGATCTCCATGTATAATACATAAGGGGGGATATGATCTCCATGTATAATACATAAGGGGGGATATGATCACCATGTATAATACATAAGGGGGGATGTGATCTCCCATGTATAAATACATCAGTGGTTCATACAGTGAACTTGGCGTAGAGCTATTCACCCTGAGGTTATCACAGAGGACAATGGGGCACTCTTTATGTCTGGAGGAAAATAAATTTAACCCCTTCACGCCTAGGGGTAAAACAAATCGAAATGCCTAAGCACAATTCTGCAATTTTGACATGTGTTAGTAAAAACCGTACAAATCATCACAACTACTTTGTACATCCAGGTGGATTAGACCTTGTTTTTTTTCAAGACAAATTGGGCTTTCATTTGGTGGTAAATGGTAATGGATAGCTCCTAATTGTTTTTTATTATCAAAGGAAAACTGGACCAAAATAGTAAAAAAAAAATAGTTTTTTTTATTTAGCTGTGTGTTTCTTGTTATGACCATAACCTACCTCCATAGAACAACCCAAAATAAATTCTCCAGCTCTTGACGATCGCAGCAATACCATATATGTGTTTGTTGTTTGTACCCGTTGTACAGCCCAGAAACAATAGTGCGCATTTTGTGTTTGTCTTTTTTTTTTTACCTAAAACACACTGACACTGACATTAACGCTAACTGACACCAATTTTTTTGTTAAAATCCTGACATTTGACTCTGACCTTGACCCAAACACTAACCCTGGTACTGAACTAGATCAAACCTTGATCTAGGTATATTTCTTTATTTTTTTTTTCTTTTATTTTTTAATATTTATTTATTTTTTTACAAACTTTTTTTATCTCTCTATGTCAGGAGTTTGAGAGATACAATGAATCTCTCCTCTCCATTCGTAGAGAGAGAAAAAACA